TCTTATCTCCCAGCCATAACGCTTTTGACCAGCATCCAAGCATAAAATTGCGCGTAGGCCGTCCTCGGTAAGTGCGGTTTGCGGTGCAATGCCTGCCAACAACTTGATTAGTAGACAATTTCTGCGATAAGCCAAATTGCATCTTTTCGCCAGCGAAATTTTCACAATTTTACAACTTAAGTGAGGTGATTATAAATTTATGCATATTAATCTGCGCTTGCTAAAGCTGCACCACACAAGATTTACATGCATGTTCGTACACAATAATGAACACTGAAAACAAATGTATACGTAAACATATACTGCACATATCTGTTATGTTGATACATTCACAACACTATAAATAAATATCAATTCATATATTTATATGGCTAAATTTATATAAAAGTTACTAGTTTTAAGTGATGCAGTCTAACAACATGCTGATTCTGCCTAATAACAATTGTAAAAAACTCTAAACTTGAGAAATCTATTACCGGCAATTTAGAATTATATCTTATATATCTCTTAATACTATACTATCTTTTATATCATTATCTTATTGTTGTAAGATTTAAAATAAATAGTATACATTATGATTATAACAATCGAATCAAAAGCGAAGATGTGTATGTATAAAATAGTAGTATAGGTTAATTGTCACTGGTGATGGTCACTTTATGCTCTGGCTCATCAAGTTCTCTGAATTGTACTACAATACTCAGTTCAACAACTCTCTGACAACCATAACATCTACCACCTAAAAATCAGTGGTGTGCTCAGGCTTGCTCAAACATAATATTGGCACCTGAGAGATAATTCATAAATTACTATAAGAATTATGAATCATATTATATTATTTAAACTGTTTCATGTGTCTTAATACTACATTCTATATGAATTTATTGTTAAAACTGAATTTGTAATAATTAATTAATTATGTTGTAGCTACTTACTCTTTATTAATTCGAGGCATCTTCAAAACCTCGCTTTACGCCTTGACTTGATTATTGTTTGTCACTTCATCAGACTAAGCAATAATAATAATTATTATACATTATTTTTATATTATAATATAATATTACATATCAGTTATCAGTCAAGCTAAATGTTTAGGAATAGATTAGTAGTTTTCAAAAAAGCAAACACGTGCTCCCCTACCTCCTTCAGCCAAATTAGTCGACGGATTTCATTTATACACATATATATGTTATATACATTCATTATTCCAGACTGTTTAATAAGAAAAATTTATTATTTTAATTTCTAAAATTATCTGAAACTCCTTTTCCAAAATAAATTCATTTTCGGTATCTTCAAAACCAGGATTTCGAATATCCGAACGGCCTGTTTGGGCGTAGTTGAATTCTCGTTACGCATTTTTTTCTTAATATTTGAGAACAAGACGAAGTCATTGGATGCCAAGTCGGGACTGTAAAGCGGATGACTTATCACTTCGACTTTTTGTGTGCTCAAAAACTCTTTTGTTTGAGCCACAAAATCGATGTATATACAAAATCGATGTATACTTCTTCTTACGGTAAAGAAGCGTTATTATCGAAACCTTTCTATTTCTATATTTTATATTATCTGCTCATATTAAGAATTTCTAAATTTATTTTATCTTAAATATTTTATCACAATTTAAACTTTAAATTATATATTTAAAGTTGTTTATTATATTAAATTATATAAAATTATGTATTATATATTTAATTATATATATTATAAATTATTTTATAATTATAATTAATTATAACTATAATTATATATATTAAATTATATAAAGTTATGTGTTATATATTTTTTTATATATATTAAGAATTATAAATAATTATACACTTTAAATTATATAAAGTTATGTGTTGTATATTTAATTATATACATATATTAAAAATTATATATATTGCAAATTGCATACAATTAAATTGTATATAATTAAATATATTTTAAATTATATGTAATTATATGCATATATTATATTTAATTATGTACTAAAATTGTAAAAATATACTAAAATTATAAAAATATACTAAAATTATATACTAAATATATACATATATTATAAACTAAACATAGTTATATATATATTTTTCCAACTATATTTTGTAAGCCTTAGAAATACATGAATAAATTTATATAAATAAAGTAATTTATACAGTATCATTTATTTATATATTATCGATCATAAATTGATCACATGATCTTCATGATCTTATATTGAAAAATATATTAAATTTGTGAGTGCATATGCCGATATATGCTTCCAAGCGTTTGCTATCTTTGGAATAAACTCGTAGTTGCCTTCAAAGTTGAAGTCATTTTAGGGAGGAGGCACGTTCCAATGCAATTTACAATATAACAAATAGCCAACATAAATTAAATTAATATGGCATAAGCTTCAAAATATGCAGCACACTTCTAAAATTAACCAAAAATCATTTAAGAGATGGCAATTAGCTTAAATCTTAAAGACCGCAATGTGTGCTAGGCAGCCACGCTCAAACGCACGCTCATGTGGCCAACTGCTGCAGATGAAGTCGATGGTCGCTGGTGGATGGTGGATGGTGGAATGGAGATACATTAAGTGCAATCCAACGCCCGCCGAGACCATAATCTGCCTCAATTTAGTATTGAATATTAAAAGTTGAGTAGCATAATTTCTCCCCAAATTTCACTCACCCCAAAAATGGATTTTTTTTCGCTTTCAGAAAATATGGAAAATACGCCTCAGATACAATAAAATGTCAAAAACGCAATTATTTATACAAACTGAAACATTTTAAAAGCAATTAGAAAATGTGGCGACGCATGGCAGCAGCGTTTGGCATGGACTGTGTCATACAACTATTCCATGTATTCGGCGGAGGAGGACGCACGGATACATTAACATATTCGTACTCGTACACAGCAAATAGATATAGTCGAGCAATCTACAACCGTGCCGAAATTGTCAATTTTATACCAAATTATGTTTGTATAATATTTAGTCTTGTTTGGTCGTTCAGTCGTTTTCATGTTTGTTTTTGTTTTTGTTTTTGTTTTTCTTATTATTATTAACTTTTTTTTCTGTGTGTCTCTTCTGGTCCCAAAAGCGGCAGTAGCAGTAGACACTGATTCAGATGCTGATACAGCGGCAATAGTTGCCTTGTTTAGTTGTTGTTTATACAAATGACACAAATGAAGTGCATCAACGACATGCTGCACGTATGTGGCATTCGCTATCATTGCTGCCACATATGACATACGGCTATGATTAACTCAGCAATGGCTGTACAGTCGGTTTTGTTGACAGTGAAGAAAAATACACAAAATTCTAAAAATTGACCATTATAACTAGTTTCAAGAAAGTCTTCTTCTGTACTTAGCCGTACTATTACTTATGCTGGACTCTTTCTTATAGTGGATCAGTTCAGCTTAAGTCGTAGTTTATACCGATTGATAAATACTGAAGTTCCATGTCTTCACTTGTCTTCAAAGCAGCTTAAGATATTTAGTATTTATTATGGTTAACATTTAGCATTTATATAAAAAGTATTAAGAGGTTTTTCGAACAGTAGTGAACTACAACAACAAAAATTATTTTTATATTATTTTAATTAATTAACCATACAACGTCATGGGTGGTCTTGGAAATAATTTTTGTATATAATTATTAGTAAATAATCTTTTTTTTTGAAGACTGCAAGTACCAGGAATTGATTTCGTGCCCTGCGGAATTTGAAGCTCAGAGTCCAACTGACCCAAAGCCGTTCTTGACTTTTTAGCCAATATTTAACATATAATATATTCACACAAAGTGTATATATAACAAAGTGTATGAAGGAAGTTATTAGATCTGATATATCATATAGATAATCTGCTTAGTAAGCGCATGTCATATGCCAAAATGCTCTTCCATTAATGTAGGGTATTAAGAACGTACAAAACTGATTTACTCATTTTGTAGATGTAACAAAATAAGTCGAATCAAAAGTGGAAGAAGTCTTCATGTCTGCACTGACAGTTCATAATAATGTCAATGACAAATCACGCGCGCACGTCAAAAATCTGTCGTAAAATATTTCAACTGTCAATTTGGTTGTATTTCATTGCATTTGCGCGACGAGAACGTCAAGAGCACAGCAGATACAGCGGTCGAAGAGCGCAGAAAACTAAACAAATTATATATGAAGACACCGAAATAAAACATCTAAAATTAGTTTCAAAATATTGTTACAAATGTGTTGACTCAAGCCAACTGAAGAAGCAAAGCACTTCAGAATTTCGATTTTGAAGTGGCTTACAAAATTTATGAAATTCAAAAATTTTTTGATATGCAAATAATGTGGGGAGAGCAAAACAATCCTACAATGCCAATGTAAATAATGGAATGCAAACAAATCAGAAATACTTTTAGTCTATGAAGACAATAAATTGTTTCCAAAACAAAAATTTCTAAATTATGTTACTAAATTAAAATATTTGAGGTTATTTATAAATGTAAGACGACATATGGACGTTAGTGAAAATATTTAAGAAAAATCTTCGCCTTGGAATATACTCATTATATTTAAAAAAAGAGATTTTCTTATAAAATGCATCAAATAAACTTTTTCCTCTAACAATGCAGGTTGATTAACATAAATTTGATATCAGTGTAGCTTTATATATCATTTTTATAAGTTATTTTTTACAATATATATAACTTTTCCAGACCCGACCTAAAGAATATTGAACTTGGAGAAGGTTATTAATTCCCCCTGTTGTAGATATAAAAGAACGCCGCAATTTTCAGTGATACAAAACACATTTTCCTACTTTTTTTAATTGAAGTAGAGCTGTCCCAAAATGTTTTCACCATAGTCGAGAACAATGCCCTACAAACCCCAACCTAAAAAAATACGTTACCGCTTGTCGCTTTTAGCAATTACCTAAAAATTATAGATCAACAAAACTTACTTACGATAAATTAAAGAATGAAAATCATGTATTGAAGTATATAAGACATCCTTTAAGTAATAACACAATAGTAATAATACAATATTGATTCAGTGATACCATAAAAGTAAAAATATTTATCTTCCAACACTTCATCTTCCAACATTGCATTTTCCAACACTTCATCTTCTAACAAATCAACTGCATCCTCAAGCATGCTTAAGCCACATTTTCTATGCTCAAAAGTCTGTTTGAAACCATTGTATCGCCATCGTATATAATATAATGTAGTATCTATCATTAGTGTACCATATTGGTTTACAGATACAATAAGAGTAGAAATATTTGATATCATTTCAGTAAAGACATCAGATATAAATAATCTTGTGTCTATGATCTATTTCTTATCACTTTAATCCACTTAAACAATAAAAATTGCACATTTTTTAAATTAAATATATTGGATACAATATTTTACTTCAAATTGTGAATTGAGAATAGTTTTAATATACATAGACTTCATCAAAAGTCTAACTAAGTTATCATATGATATATGCTCTGCTCATTTCATAATAAGCTTTATATATTCCTCCTACTAAAACTATAAGTATTGTTCGACAGTAAATACAACTTTTTTAGAAGTTAGTATTAGATAAGAACAACTACTTCCGGTAAGATAAAGGTCGGTATGATCAACCACTTCCCACATTTGCTTGATTTCGCATTCATCGCTTCATCGACGTAGAAGCAATCCAAAAAAAGTTATCCCAAATAACGTATTGGCGACGATTTAAAACACTAGAGATTGAACAAGTCATTCCGATGTAAGCGCCGTTTAGATTTGTTAAAATCCATTAATCCAAAAATTAAAACAATGGAGAAACACCTTATTCATACCCAAAAAGCTAACAGTAGTGAATACTGATTTTCTATGGAGTTTGATTATCAAGGAGTCAGAACATACTGTAATAAAGCGTAACCTCAAAAAAAAAAGTCTTTTGGTATATCAAAATGGAAAACGATCCTCTATGAGCATCGGTCACAAAGTAGAAGTTTTAACATCAAGTCTATTTTTAACATTTGTTCATCCTACTTCATACCGAAAAAGCCAAGGGACTGAACAGACTATAAAGTTGAATTATAGAAAACATTATAAGTGGCGTTTGTATCTCTCCAGTGCTCAAAAAGACTTGTTACTTTTATGGATTTGTATTACTCCAAAACTAGTGGATTAATGGATTATTAGATTCGCATATAATATACAATACAATAGAATTTATATATACATACTGTTATAGCACAATCTAATCATAAATATTTATCTTTTAAGATTGCAGTAATTGTTTGAGGACAATCTTTACGACGGAAGACAAGTGGAAGGAAAGTATTGAAAGGTAAAGGTTTTTATTAATTATACATACAATATACAAAACAGGAAAGTTTTGTTTTTAAAATTGGTGTAAACGTACTCAATCATTAGTCAATGGTTTGTTTTTTATTTGCAGACTACTACGCGTATATGCTATATATTTGCAGATTTTACTCTCTGGGGTCACTCTTTCTAATAACTGTTCGAAGTTTTCTCTCTAAGAATTGACGCAGAGATCTACGCTCAGAGGTTAAGTATTAAGTTTCAAATATATTTAAGATTTTAAACAAATTGTAAAATTAAGTTTGAAAATAATTTAATTTCATACTTTATATGCATAAATTGAACTAATTCACTTCAAAAATTCGAGATATATAATAATTTATTTAAGTAATTATTCTTTATCAGAATTTCACCGCCCATATGGCAATAACAAATCACCTTCAAGTTTTCAAAAATTTTAATTAGAAAGTAAAAAAAAATTTTTTAATTAAATTTATGAAAAGAAAATTTTTAGTAAATATTTTCTCTCCCCAATGCAGTTCAGATTTGAATAAGACTCACTGCACACCCCATCTGTAATCGCATTGCAAGCAAATGCAACTAATGCAGATACTTATCAATTCATATCTCTGCTTTTATGCAGAGCAACTTCAACTTCAAACTTTTGAACGCATCTGTCAACCTTAGATTTACGAGTAAATTTCAAGTGCGAGACTTTCACTAAATGTTCACGCACTTCACACTCCGCACCAACGCACTTGAAGACAAATCATACAAATCGTCCGACAATAGAAATACATTTCGTTTGCATTCTCATCCGATTTTCTGTTTATCCACCGTTTAACTATAAGCAAATATTGTCGCAGTTCCTCCCCGCCGTATATCGAGAGTACAGGACTTATTAGAGCAACGCCATGGCCATTGCTGGTGCATTGTTGACTATCTGAACTTACTCGACATTTCTTTACTTAAATTAAAGGTCAATAAACCTTAAGATTTTATTCTCGTCTCACTATCAATGGATATTGGGAAATGTAACAAATGCTTGAATGATTAGGAATTCAGTAGGTGTTCCAAAATAAGCAATACACAAATTTCCTAAGTTGAGTTTAGTGAAATTGCAGGCACTGCAATTGTTTTTTTTTATTGCTTCTGATACAATAAGAAGTTCTTATTTTAAAAGAGTATTAATCAGACCTAACATTGTAACTTCTCAAATATGTGACATATATATTAACTATAGTACTGCCTCTAACACTCCCACCAGAACCTCGACTCTGTTTACTCATCTTCTCTTTAGCTTGAACTTCCTTCGTTCATATCGTGTAATCTTATAACAACACATCCTTCTTCGAGATTGGTTCGCAAGTGTAACATGTAGACCGGTTCATTTTCAATAAAAAGAGGGATTTTCCTATCTTTTAGTAATCAAAAGGTAAGGATACAATGTAATTCATATTGTAAGGATACAATAAAGTTTAATTCATTAATTAAATCAATCACTATTTTCTCTCCCACTAAAAAAAATTAATAAAACCATGTTGTGGAAAAAGTCAGTAACGAATGCTTAGATCGTTTTACGCTTCTTCTGATATAAACACTTGCTTATATATTTTTCTCCATTGGAATAGCATACCACGAAGATCGAAATTTATTTAATAATAAGCTTTGGTTATTGCCAATTAGTGGATTCATCGCTGAAGCACACTTTCGACCTTCCTTATTTTATATAGATTTTCTCTTTAGTTTTATAAATTTTTAGAATATCCTTAGAACTCCTACACTTAAGAAGTAGTTAAATACAGTAGACTATCGATGTGACCAAAGATATAATGTCAAGACCTTTTTTTATTGTTTTATTACATTCGAATATATTTAATGTCTAACATTAGGCCATCCAGAAAAATATTTTTAGTATATTTATTCTTTATAAATATTTTCATGTTGCTCGTTCATTATTTAGAGGTTTCCTTCTATTAGGTATTCATTCGAAACCTCTCTATAAATATAAATAAAATATGTCAAAATTGTTTAGTTTTTATTATCTATAGATTTTATTGTCAGGTGGTCTATCGACAAACCCTTTCTCCTTGAATACAGCACTGCCAATATGACATAATTTTTTATTAACTTATTTCATTTCTTAAAAATCTAAGAAAGTTTTGTGTCTAGTGCCCATTTTCTGTTGTAGTAAGGACAACTTTTTAAATATTCATTCCTTTAATTTATTATCCTGTTTCGTTCAAGAATGTATTTCAAGTATCAGCACACTCTGCCACATAGAATGCATAAATTAAATAAAAGTTATAAAAATAAACTATAATTTATGAAAAAATTCTTCTTATATTATGGACGTAGGGACGTATGGACGTATATGAAATAAATAAAAAAATATTATTTCACCGGATATAAGCAACAAACTAATGTTCCGGAAAATTACATCATCACTTTGATAGAAGACTTACATAAATAATAGAGAAAAATTGAAAATATCAAAATGTGACTGGCAATTGTCATAACATCATAACGCGCACATGTAGCACTCATACCCGCAACTGTGAACACTGTGAACACTGTGAACACCACCAATGGCACCAGGACTGAAAGCAGAAGAAGCGCGCACCATGCCATACAAATCGGCGACACAAAGGAATTTTCCAGCAATCAACACCAGCAACTCAAGTTAAATGTGATGACAGGATAACAAACACAATGAACACGCATTCAGTGTCTCGGCCGAGACAGCGCCAAGCAGGCGAAATGAAAATAAAAATATGCTACGCCAGGATAATAGACACTAAATAGCGGCACGCGGCTCACGGCACCCATTCCACCCCAATCCTTGGAATATGAATATGAAATAATAAAAAAATAATTCATTTAAAATTCATATAAGGGAAGCAGTCGAAGTCGAAGCAGTCATTCAGTCAGTTCGGTCGGTTCAGTCAGTTCATTCAGCAAATCAGTCAACCAATTATAAGGATAACTACTGTGGCAGGCTATAATGTAGTCGTTGGAATAAAACGAAATTTTGACTTCCTGTTAATCAGCATATAATGCGGTATTGTTTGAACGGAATAAACTACTTTCAAAGGACGTCCTGACTGTCCTGACTACACTGTCGCACAGTCATAAAAACGTTGCAAAATATTGAAATGATGTCAGAAGTGTATAAATTATCAATCCTCGGTCATTTCACTTGGTAATGCTGCGCTACAGTTAGTTATTAAATAACTAAAATACCGACTGTAGCACCACCGCCTTAAGCAAACAAACCGACAATATGCGCTACTTATGCTTATTATGGAAAATAATTTCATAATTCGTAGGGTGGTTAAAAAAACATTGCGTATATCCTTAAGCGATACTTCGTTGAGCCTTGCGCCTTTGCTGACAATGTGTTAACACAAAAAAGTGGAAAAAGATTAAAAATGAAAGCGGAAAATATTGCTCATACCGGAAGCATATTCCCTTCCGTTCTGAAGGACTGAGTACGTGCCTCAACTGAGCGGCTGGCAACTTTTGGGGTGTCGGCATAATTTTATGAATGATTTTATTATTATTAATATGTAACATTATGTAAGCGAAAGGATAATGCAAACAAAATAAGTAGTAAGCTGGAAAAGAGAAGCACGTGCCAGGAAGGCGTTATGTTTACATTTCGAGCCAGGAACACACAAATAGCGGACGGCGCCTTTCTGGGCCACTTAATCATATCGTCCTGGCGTTTTATGAAATGATTTTGTGTATTTATTGGCAACTAATGTAAATATTAGTTTTGTTGTTTGCAGGATTTCATATGAATTTATGCGTTTTGTATATCTCAGTACGGATATGTAACGAGGGCAGCAAAAATATTATATGTATGGTGTATAGCAAGTGCAAAGGATTTAACTACTGATTTGCACATTAATGTGTAATTATGAAATTAAAGCCAATTCGCAAATATGCTATCGGGCATACAAATAATTGGAATCCGATTTTTTACGGGGTGGTTAACTTTTTTGATAAAAATTTCGATTGAAATTCCAATGATTTATGGTCGTGGGAGCTATACGGGAAGTGCGATTTATACGCTTAAGTTCTATGATTAAAATATAGATACAAAGTACAAATAGAAGATAGTTTATTTAAGCAAATATTTATATATTGGATGACTAATGGATAGAGTTGACTCCTAATAGTTTATTTAATGTATAATTTCTAGATAAAGTTGACCTAGTAGAATCCTAGCAGTAGTAGAAACAGAGGTATTTGTTCCTTTCTTTTCTTAAATTTGTTATAATACAAATAAATTTATAAACTGGTATAGATAGATAGATAGATTTTGAAAGGGTTGGGAACTTATCACCAAGTCGCTGCATCTTATGAGAACTAAAGTGGGTTTTTAGTTCCATAGGCGTTTAGCAGTTAAAAATGACATTATATCCTTTAGAGAGATGTTACCTAATTACGTTATAAGTGTATAGGCAGTTGATAAGTACCATAGTCTGAGTCTGACGAGACTATTACAGATTGAGTTCTGCTGTTTCCTCTTTTTCGTAACAAAGTCTGCAACTATCGTCTCTTATCCAAAGTCTGAGTCACAGATTGTGTTCTGCTGTTTCCTCTTTTTCGTGACAAAGTCTGCAACTATCGTCTCTTGTAATATAAACTGGTATAATTATTTAAATAAAGTTTAGAGCTGTAGCTACTTTACCTAATAGAATACGTCATTATTTCCTTAACATTGATAAATATTATTAACTATACCACATATAATTCTTAACTAAACAAAATCATTAGAACAATGGTACTTATTCATATTGTAATATTTGAAGATGTTAACAACAGACAAATATATTATTTATAGAAATCCTAAATTTAACTAATTCTTTAGTTCCTTCTCCAGTTTCTCAAGAAACCTAAATTTTGCTAATACTTTAGTTCCTTCCACAGTTTCTGACAAACCCAAAATTCACTAAATATACTAACTAAACTGACTAAATTCTTTAGTTATTTCTTCCTTTTTTTAATTTTGAGACGTATAATTAAATGCATTATCTTCAATTAAGTACGTCATGAAATTTAAATTTAAATGATTCTTTAGCTTGCCTCTCCAGTTTCTCAGAACACCCACATTTAACTGATTCTTCAGGTTCTTCTTATATTTTACTTTGAAACGAGTATTTGAATGCATTGTTTTTATTACGTAGACCGGGTGAGGTCTTTTTTTAAGGACAACTAATATAGCATTAAATTAATTA